ATTAGGGCATCTACAAGAATCAATTTCTTGGCTGCAGTGGAAACAAAAGGAGCTCACAGCTGCATCAATACAGTTTTGCTGCACTGCTCACAAGTTTGTCCGATTTATCTACTGGTCACGACAGCTATAGTGGACATTCGCCTCCAGAGGGATTTGTAAAGGCTGTAATGTCTGATCCAAATGCACAGCAGGTTTCCACAAGGCAGCCTGTACCTCCGTCTTTCCCCTGTGAACTCCTTCTGGATGGCAGAGCGCCAAGCAGCCTGAAGCAAAGTCCTAAAAACACACGGGCATTTCCCTAAAAAGAAGTGGGAGTACAAAATGTCTGTGGAGCAAAAACATAGTGATTTTACCGTGGGAAGGCAGAGCTACAGGAGGACAAGTAGACACAGGAGTTCAGTTCTTGCCATGTCATACTGAAGTTATAGTCATTGTCTGCATTGTAGCTCTCATAGGGATCTTTTAAATCTCTACTGTCCGTCCCATGAGAAGCAAAGCACAGCACGTCCTCACCTGTGTCCCCACTGGTTGAAGGAAACTGCTTATTCTTGAAGTCTCTACTTGGTCTGAAATGTATTCAATGATGTTAGCCAGAAATTACACGTCACACACCATCAATCAGCTCACAGCTACAGTAGGACTGTATCATCACTGCTGTTGTGCCGTTGCTTAGATTAGACGCTCAGCTGTGCCATTTTTGCCGTTGTCCTGTCTGTGTGTGGGTGACACTGATCAAAAGCACAAAACAACGCTTTCCCTGACTTCTCATGGCTGAAAGTTTAAAGTCTGTTATCACTGACCGCACACCCTGGATTAGCACAGCGGCGTGTCGTGTCGAGCTCTAATGTAACAGAGAGATATCGAGTTGTCCTGAACGCACCCATCACTGCAGTACAAATAGCCGGTAAAGTACAATTATCAGCTGGTGTGAACTCGCTCATTAATTCTACATAATTTTATGCCAATTTTGTGTAGAATTCCAATCATGTGGTGCATCTTCTGGCCTTTCTATGTCTGCAGGTGCACAGCTGAGGAGCGACGGAGTGAAGACAGCAATTGGCCCTTTTCAAGGTTTACTTGAAGCAGTTGCAAAAGTGTTAAAAGGTATCACTGCTGTCACAACCCGGCAAATAGGTTGTGGCAAAAGAGGGGAGACGACACAGGTATTGTCAGATTTTAACATAAAGTTTTATTAATTGGTTTAATTAATCTAGTCAAAGTGAGGTGTGTATGTCAGTAATGTCAGTAGTGTGGGTGCAGATGTCTGGATGTCTGGATGTGATGTGGTGCAAGGTGTTGTCAGATGTGAGAACCAAACCAAAAACCAACCAAACCACAAATCACAGGCATGAGGAGAGAGGGAGAGACCAGGAGCTGAGGGGTTGGCCCTTTTATACCTGGGAGCGAGCATGCCAATCAGGTAGGACCACCCACTCAGTCTCCAGCAATCTAGGGACACAGACACAGACAGCCAATGTGCCCAACCAACCGACTAGGTGGGGCCGTCACACTGCTGATTAAAAAGTCTAAATTAATGGGCGCCGGTATGGCTCACCTGCTTGTGCTGGCATCCCATGTATAAGGGCTATAGCTCCCCGACGGAGCGGTCGTGGGTTCGAATCCTGCTCATGACCCTTTGCTGCAGGTTCTTCTCCCCCCACTTTCCTGTCTCTCTCTCTCTCTGTCCTATCTAATAAAGCCAAAAAACATCTTTTAAAAAGAAGTCTGAATTAACATGGGGAGCCAACAACAAGGATTAGGATAAGCTAATTACTCAAGTGATGCCGCTGGGCCTTCACCAAGAGACACACGCCCAGAATATCTTCAGGGGGATGAATGTTACGACGGCTGCCTGTCAACAATTTTCTACCAAAGAAGTTATTCAGCTGAAAAGTGTTGGAAACGTTTCATGATGCATTGCTGCTGCTGCTTTTATGGCACCATTTAGAGCTGACTTCCCTTCCATCATACTGGCTGAGAACACTATGTTGGCGAAACCAAGCAGAAAAGTCATCTGCTAAAGTAAATGCCACGTAGTCTGAAAATTTGACTTTTTTTTGTTCGTAATTGATTTGAAATGCCCTTTCAAAATCGTAAAGGTCCCACTCTACAGCTATAGAACCTTTAAAATATCCAGGCTAAATGGTGAGTGCTAAAGATGCTGGACCTGGAAGTCAAAGTATTGTAACAGAATGTACATTGGCAGCTAAAATGAGAGCTTCATATACAGTAGATTAGCATTTTAAATTTAATCAAGTAAGTCAAAGTCAATGAGGAAGGCACCTAAGTATTTATACTGATGAGTCAGGAAAGTAGCCTTTCAATACATATATAGACAGAAAATGAAACTTTCTGACCAGACGTCATGACAAATGGCTGTGTGGAGGCATTAGGACTAATGAAGGGACAACATGCAGCTGTCTGCATCTGATTCTGTCTCTTCAAATGAGAGGAAAATCAGTGCTGATGGAAGTATATATAATTCATAAAGTTGGCACAAAGTGGGCTTCATGTGGGAGAGGGAACAGGGAAGCACATGAAAGACCTAAAAAAAAAAGTCTATTTCAAGCAAAGCTTTCCGAATTTCTTTCCAGTGAGTTCGAGCAGACTGCTGCAGGCTCATGTGGCTTTGCAAAGGTGGAATTAAAGAAGGGAGGGGGAGAAAAAAAAAGTCACACAATTCGATGCAGTCGTCTCTGAACAGGGCGTTTAAACTGAGGAGAAAGATTAGAAGAAGGAGATTAGTTTATTGTGGGCTCAGGTTAGAACTGGTTCTGTCTGATAAGCTCTGAGAAGAACACTGGATGAGTTGGAACATGAGAAATGATGCTCTCCAAATTAAGAGCCACAATATGCCATTCCTGCATCTATTCTGATAGAAGTTGAAGAAGAGGAATTTATGTGAGCGTATGTTGACAGATACACTGATAATAGCACAGCTACAGGTCATTTGTTGTTGCTCATTTGAAACTGTTAGTGAAACTATTTCATTTTTGAGAAAACTGGGAGTTTTTCAGTTATTTACTCTGTGCTACAGTTGCCAAATGCACTCAAATTAGCACACACTGCTGCTCATCCTGTCATTATAAATGATGCAACCAGCCCATTTCGCTGAAGCCCCCCTGAGCTTCTCCATGCAGAGCAAAACATGTTGCATTTCACAGGCATTAATGTTACTTTTCTAGCTTTCTTGACAAGATGCTAAGCTCCCCAGGATGTAATTACAACACGTTACACAAATATACACACAGATGACACAAACTCCATATAATTGTGCGTCAGCCAAATAATCCTTGACGCACCCTCATCGCAGAATGTTAAGTTATTTGGCCCTGAGTTGCCAAAACAAGTCATATAAGTGCCTTCATGCGTCCTGGGAACACATATTTTTAAAAAAATAAAAAATCCTTATCACGTTGATTCCAAATAAACGAGACGCGTGAGGATTCCAAATGAGGGGCAACAAGGCCATCTAGCGATACAGTTTGGAAAAACGAACTTTTTGGAGCTGGTCAATTAATGTGTCATTTGCGATGCTCATTCATATGGAGCACAATAGAAGACACCTGCTGTTTCTACTTAGCTGCTTTTAAGCCCTCACATCGGGAATGCGTAATGCGCCAGTGCGTAATGTTGAGATATGGCATGTCAAGGTTTAGTTTAATGTCCAAAATGAGGCCAGATTGTGTTTGCGCAGTGGAAATAAACACGTTGCCAGCCTGCACGCGCTCTTTACGCGTGTATTCTGCAGTTATTTTGAGTCTTAGGAACACTGTGCGAATGCTCATTTGTAAGTTTTTATCAGTAAATCCCCAACTAACATTTTTTCAGTTTCCAAATGATTTTTCTTTCGTCCTAACTTTTTTGTGTTTTGTATTTTTAATTGCTGTGTTTGGGAACGAATGCAATCTCTAAACGCACAAAATCCCCATTTACCATGTTTTGAGATTACGCAGTAAAACGTTACATTTGGTCCAAACCTCTCCAAAGATTTTTACGCACAGACGCACACTCATCCACTGACTATCAATTAGTCTGAATTTGCCCCAGTTTGACAGACATCTGCAGCGCAGTCGCCACTCGCGGACGAGGGAAGATGCTCTTCAGTCGCTCACCACAGCTTCATCATTATCCCCGAGAACACAGCGAGCACTGGTCTGCTCATAAAGTGAAACACAGGCATTGTGCTGCAACGGATTTATTGAGATTGCGCGTCTGGAATCACTCTTAAGGAGTAAACGGATTTTTTTTTTTGGCTGTATTCCAGATGCACCTTGGCTGAATTTACTTGGGAAGCAGGCATTGAAAGTAGCCTGTTAACTTTGGATTTTTACACATGGATTTCTTTAACGACTCAAATTTTTCCATCGGTGGCACAAATGTAACAACAGGTAGGTTGAGCAAACACTGGATCTGCAGCACAATCTAACAAAATCGTTTCACAATTTGTTTAAGAGAGAAATAACATAACATTTATGCTACAGTTTTCTTTTCTTTCCTTTTTTCTGTCTCCAAATATATTTCGTTTCCTTTTGGAGTCATGCAAGCTTTTACAGTCTATTGCACTAATTCAAACTGCAGTGACTTCCATGACCAGCCTGGTATATTAAATGATTTGCACATCATCTTCATCATCATCATCATCATCATTATTAATAATAATAATGATAATAATAATGTGCATAAAAGCAAAATGGAATGAAATTTAAAAAGTGTGGAAAAAGTGTAAATAAATGTCAATTAACGCATAGTGTTGGTAAGATTTATTCCGTTGTGTTGAAGTTTCTTCACAATATAAATCTATGCAAAGATATTGCCGTCACCTAAGAACATTCTCTCTCTCTCTCTCTCTCACACACACAAACACCTAAACACACACACACACACAGTCAGTCAGTGATGTCCACACTATATCCCTCCTGCTGCCTAAAGCCAGAGGGAGAAAACAGATCCTCTTACACATGAATAGCAACAAGTGTTGTTTATCTCGCTCTGCTACTCTATAGTTTACCACAATGTGCAGCACGGTGTGATCCTGCTTAAGATTTTTTGGAAAAAATAATAATTTATTATGTAAGAAGTATTTGGCATGTTCTTATGTGCTGCCCCCTCTTCTTTTTGTCTCCAGCTGTAGATGGGACCCTTCACTGCAGTGCCATCCTCCCCGTCATATTCGGCATTATCTGCTTTCTGGGTATCATAGGGAACTGTATCGTCATGTACACCATCATGAAGAAGACCAAGTGTCACGCCAAGCAGACTGTCCCAGACATCTTCATCTTAAATTTGTCTGTAGTTGATCTCCTGTTTCTCCTTGGGATGCCTTTCCTTATCCACCAGTTGCTGGGCAACGGTACCTGGCACTTTGGAGCCACGATGTGTACCGTGATCACTGCGCTCGACTCCAATAGCCAGATTGTCAGTACTTACATCCTCACCGCGATGACCCTCGACCGTTACTTGGCTACAGTCCATCCCATCCGCTTCAACTATGTCCGCACACCCTGTGTTGCCACGCTGGTTATCGGACTGGTGTGGGGTCTGTCTCTACTCACCATCATCCCTGTTTGGATGTACGCAGGCCTGATGCCTCTCCCAGATGGCCTGGTGGCCTGTGCTCTCCTTCTGCCTGATCCAGTCACCGATACATATTGGTTTACACTCTACCAGTTTTTCTTGGCCTTTGCTATACCCTTGGCTATTATCTGCGTGGCATTCTTTAAGATCCTCCAACACATGTCCACCAGCGTGGCGCCACTGCCTCCGCGGAGTTTGAGGGTGCGCACCAGGAAGGTGACCCGGATGGCAGTGGCCATCTGCTTGGCTTTCTTCACCTGCTGGGCTCCTTACTACATCCTCCAACTCATCCATCTCGGCGTGCAGAAGCCAAGCATTGCTTTCTCCTATGCCTACAATATTGCCATCAGCATGGGCTACGCTAACAGCTGCATCAATCCATTCCTCTACATTATCCTCAGTGAGACCTTCAAGAGGCAGTTTCTCCGGGCTGTACGCCCAGTTAATAGAAAGTTCCGCGTGAATCCAAGCACCACGGACGGAGGCAGTGTGAGTGTGAGGATGATACCCGAAGGGGTTCAGCAGGAGCCGGCCTACGAGGAGATGTTACCATCCGGTGCAGCACCAGAATGAACTGATGAATAAGAATGCATACATGTGTATCTGTGTAGCTGGTAAGGGGACACATATTCATAGCGAGTCAACAGCAAAGTCTGCACATCAAGCTCAAATGATCCTCTTTTAAAAACAATGTTTTTTACCGAAATCATCCATTTGCACTGCTTTACCTTTTCTTTTTTTGAAACACTGACCAGCGTGCTGCAGCTTCTTACTGGGCTTCAATGCTGTTACATTTTCAAACATGCGCCGCTCACAGTCCAGTCAGATACTCCTATTCGCTGTGACTGTTCAAATAATCCCAAACTATTGGTTTTATTGACTAGAGCTTGCACATATGTAGCCAAGACAAACAGTCGATAGCACCTAATTCATCTGCTGGGTGTTTACAACCAGTTAGACGATGAATGGATGGTTTCTCAGCACTAAAGGTGCACTCACACAGAATACAAAGCAAAAAAAAGCTTTTCTTCTTTTATTTACAGGAGATTTTGCAGCCTGTATGTCTTGACTAAAGAGCAAGTGGACACATCAGTTTTGACATTTACCGCTATATCTAACAACATCAACGAATTCCATGAACCGATTACCTAGTGTTTCCCCACCTCTTCTCTCCTCGAGCATCAGTACATTAAAGAAGCAGATTCACACAGCTCGGGTTGTCACACATTCACATCAAAGGGAAAAGCAATTTTAACCGGTGTGGACGCGTCTTCACCCAAATCCACAAAAGCCAAGAAATAAAGCACGTGTTTCTGTCGTAAAGTCTGTATGATGAGTCTGGATATCCCATAATACTAATGGAGAGGCTGTAACATCCATGAATGCAAGCGATGGACTTGAGAGTGACACCCAGACTGACTCATCGTCAGGTGAGAAGGCTGTAAATAGCAACTTCAAAACATCAATATTAAATGTCAGCAACCTGCAACAAATGCGCTGCTGCATGAAAACAAGAGGAGCTAATATAAGGTGGCAGTAATAAATCACAGGAGATACTACTTTATAAATATACACACAGACATCATTTTGAATGTAAGGACACTGCAGGACATAGTTCACCATGTCGTTACCGCTACAAACGCTGTGACAGAACTGTGGACATCCATGCAGAGTGCAGAGAAACATCCAGTGCAAAACTTTTGGACAGTGGAGATGTGGATTTTTTGGTTGTTGTTGTTGTATCCTTTTGTGACCTTTAAAAAAAAAGGAATCCCTACCCTGTGCAAAACCATAGACTGTATAAAAGACGGACGTAGCAACCGACCCTGGAAAATGAAGCCAACCTGGAAGTGTCAAAAACCTGCAGTATCACTACGTCCACTAGTTGCTGGCTCCAAAAAGCCCTGGCTCCCATAGACTGGAATTGGAAAAGAAATGATCACAGAACACGAAATACTGCATTCCTCCAGCTCAGGATTTTTTAAAATTAGTTTTCATGGTCAAGTCCAGAGACCAGGTGGCCAATCTAAAAATAAATCAGTACTGAATTTTTAAAAAATCGTCAACATTTTGCGGGGCAAGGGGCGTGGCTGGATTGATTGACAGTCGGCAACGACCATACAGATGAAGCGAGCAGAAGGCGGTAAATGTGGGCGGGCAGAGAGGGCCCGCCTCTCAATCCGTCTGACCAATCGCTGCTCCTATGGCTCCGCCCCCCTCCGACGATTTTTGGCTCCAAAAATCCAAGATGTCAACCAGGAAGTAGCAAAACCCTGGCTTCATTTTCTCAGTGCAGAAACCAACGAGTGACGTCACGACAGCTACGTCCATCTTTTATACAGTCTATGTGCAAAACACAAGCATTAAAAATGAGACTAGAGATAATGTCTGGGATCTTAAGTTTTCTCTCAGTCAGCATCAACAAACTGCGGCACTTCTTATTCCTCTATTTTGATCCACCGCTGTCCTTCATGGATTGATGGATGCCCTAATTCATAAAATGTGTCTTGAGAATAAAGGAGGCTTACTGGAGGAGCTGTGTGTGAGGATGCACGGCTCTATCCTCACTGTATTCCTTTTAAGATTTATTTTTAGGGTCCTTGTTGATTAAAAAAAAAAAAAAAAAAAGGGGGTCGGACACAGCTGAAATATACAAACCACGTCTGGAGGACTGTGTGTCTAATTTATATCCCTGAGTCACTACATATGAATGTCTGTGTTCTCTTTTATGTGTCACGCCTTCTCTGTAGTTCACAGCACACGTGTGTGGTTATTTGATTTCTTTTTAAAGTATGACATTTGTACATTATTTTGAAATTGTTAAAACTGTGCAGCTCATCTGAGATTGTTCTTTTTTTCTTTTTTGTGTAAATGCAGCATTAGTCTGTAACAAAACAATGGACCGGTGATGCAGCTGAGTCACACGTTACATTTAATTGCAGCTGCTTTGAACTGACAGCTCCAAAGAAAGGACGTCTCTTTTGCTAAATGCCTGCTGTCTTGACTTCTCTCCTCTCGTGTCTCTTTCTCGCCTCGCATCACATCTGAGGAGGACTGAGCTGCAAGGAGGGGAAACGAAACTGAGGATGTACAAACTGAGAAATGATAAGAAGAAGAAGAAGAAGAGAAGAAGATGTTCTACTTATGTCCTCAGTGGCAGCACAGTTTTGAGGAACTAAGTCACAACACTGTTCTGACTTATTCTCCGGTGAAAAAAGACAGTATTTGTCCCAACTTTCGACCAGCTGACTGTACGACTCCTTAAATGTTAAGTGAACGTGGGAGTATTTGTGCTATATTTAGCCCTTTCTCTTAAAAAAAATAAAGTGCTTTAAGAGGTTACTGCTTATCAGGGATGATTAAGTTAGCTGGTAATCTTCTTTTCTTTTTTCTAAATGGTGTAAAACAACAGTTTTAGATGTTGGATATGATCGACACCTTAATGCAACAGGAAGGAGATGACTACATGCTGTGATGTACTTTTCTTTTCTCTTTTCTGCAGTGCCTGTAGATCGTTTTGCTTTTTATAAAAAAAAGATATAATATAATTATGTTTAGAGCTGCTTGTGTAGTTGCTTCTTTGTCTTTTACCAGGGTATCAAAAAAAATTATGAAGTAAATCATGAAGGAAAGTTAAGCCATGGTGGTTATCTGCAATGCTGGGATCACAACAATCAACGGTTGGGATTTTATCGATTCCCTCGGAGACGTCAGGGTTCCTTTTGAATGTTGCTTGTACATTTGAATAAATGCCACTGAGAGCCATGTTTACAAGCCCAAAGAAGAAGAAGATAAAGACGGCACAGCAAACTGAGATGAAGAGACTTTTGTGTGGATCTGATAGCACCAAACAGTTTTTGTGATTCTTCTTGAGGAAGCGCAGAGAATTATTCTACAATAAGCAGCCAAAGTCGGAGCATTGCCAAGTCACAGATATACATGAAGTGGAGGTTTTGGATATGTCAAACCTCTAAAAGAGTGCCATTTTGCCAATGAGATGTTGTTATTGTTGTATTGATATTAAGTTCTATTCAGTACGGACATTTACGGAGGTGAAAATATATATTTGGGTTGAACTTTTCATGTATATATATAAAATATCCCTGAAAACTAAACTCAGAGTTTCTCATCCTTTTTCATCTTGCGACCCGGCTGGATTCCAGAGAGCAAAGCTGTACGTTTTCATCATAGCAGTCCACCTTTGTACCGTTTCGTCTTTTTAAAAAGGGCAGAGAAAGCTCTGAAACGAACGTGGATGGAAATGATAACGCACAGCAGTACTTTAGAGATTTAAACTGTGTTGTTGTTCGTGTGTCTTTCAAAGCCTTTATGTCCCCACCTGCTTGTTAAATGTGTCCGTGTCGGGTCCACAAAACAAGGATGAGAAACTCTGGTGTTACGTTTGTCCTTGTCAAATATGAAAAGAAAAAAAAAACATAAAGGCCTCGTGCCAAAGCATGCAACAAATATACAACAAGGCCACTGTTTTGATGTGAACGCTGACATCCCATTTATTATGTATATTGTAACAGAAATACATAAAGTTTGTATGAAAGAGTCAAACTGGAGAACTGAAGTGTGGTTAGTTTTTTCTTCTTCTTTTCTTTTTGTTCCATATGATTCTTGCTCACAGTGCAATTGAACTCTATTTGATGCATAATACATGAAAAGCATTTTCAGTTCATTTGGCCAGGGCTGAAATCTGAAGGCTTTGGAACATTTAATAGAAGGTCTCAGTCTCTGTATTTCACCTTTTCTGTTCGCGTTTGTTTTTTACAAGTAAGAAGAGTCTGCATAGAAACTTGAAACCACATTAAATGAAAGCCGCAAGCGGCGATGGACGGGTCCTCACAGTTGTCGGCCTTCGCCCACGTTGGGCAGAAATGTGCTCAAGGCAGGACTCTGATCCGGCGTGTCGAGTTTCAGCCAGATCGTACCATGTGCGGCGTAGCTACAAGCCACTTCCTGTTTTATGGTGGAGTGCGTGTCAGGCTGTGATGGCGACGCGCTCTGGCTGGGACTCGGCACATGTGTGTTTCAGGCAGATCAGAGCACCAAGCACGTCCCGTTTTATGCCGCCATCCTTTTTCAAAATGGCGGACTTCATGTTGGGTTTTGGCCTTGGCGCTAACTGACTTTTTTGTGCATCCGGACCTGCTACACATGGCCACCGAATTTCGAAGCTGTAGGTGAAACGGCTTTCCAACAGGGCTCTCTGGAATGCCGGACAACCAGTGAAAATGCGCAAAATGGCCTTTCATCAAAATTGAGCAGGCTGGCAATTCCACGTCAGAGATTTTATGACCTTTTAATCACCATGTCCTGTAGTTTGTGCTAGCCAAATTTTAGATGTGTACGACATAACCCCGAGGAGGAGCTAGATTTTGAAAGTGGCCGAAAATGGCCAAAAAAAGAGAAAATATCACTCGGCATGCTCGCTACTTTTTTGATATGGTGGATTTCCTGTCAGGTTTACATAAAAAGACTACAGGACTTTTTTGTGCGTCCCAAGCTGCGACGTATGTGTGCTGAATTTCGTAGCTCTAAGTGAAACCTAAGTGGACCCAGTTGGA